TGGAAAGCACACAGCTATGTATCTCTCTAGACACAAAACCACCAGTGTGATAACAGAAACGCTGAGTGTGAGGCTGTTAAATGAAACTAAAACCACACACACAGAATACCGCAGAGTTACTCTAAATGAAGGCAGTAAATACATCGACTGATTGTGTGCCAGCTGGATGGTGTCTGAAAACAGAAGGTTAAACAGCAGAATATAACGAGACGTCTCTCGAAACACCTCTTTACTCCTCAAGGTGTACAACATTGTCACATTGATGAAAAGAAACACACAGCATGGCAAAGTCGTCACAGTGGAAGAAAATGCCACCCCTAGGATTCCCTGACGCTCCAGATTAAAAGTTGTGTTCAACTGAGTTTGGTTAGTGGAGGACATTTTAAGCAGATTAAACCCACATAGATCTTAAGCAGAATAAAAATTATTGTACCCAAACACTTATATCATGTTTATAATCTGCATTGTTGTAGAGTTCACATATTAAAGCCACCAATAAAACTGCTATTCACACTCGTTTACCTGGAGAAGGTCTGCATGAATTCCCTTTCTTCACCCAATATTTATCTGATTAGACTTGAAACACCTGAGACTGGTGTGTGCAATTTAATTGGCTAATGTTGTTAGAACACCTGCCTCTTATGTCTTCATGTCCAGCATACCTATATGTGAACTGTAGTGTTTTGTAAAGGGCTATGCCTGTTGTAGTTAAATGCAATCATTTTAATACTTCTCAGTAAGTTATTGGAAAAGCTTTTTGACATGATTGGTCCTAGTCTTACACTTTCATATTCAAGGTTCTACAGAAACTTCATTTTGCCCAGCAACAACCATATTTAGAAAATAATTCTATTTTTGAAAAATTTCAGTGTGACTTTAGGTAGCAACATAGCGCTGTGTATGAGAGCAATGAGTACTAAAGGTACTCGGTGACATTTCTGACGGTTGATGGGTCGGGCCCTGTTGTCTTGGTGTTGCTGGACCTCAGCTTTTGATACTGTTGATTACTCTGTCCTTCTGTCTTGCCCACGCCATTGATTTGCTTCACGTGGCTGCTACTTAAAGTTACTGTAGGTAACTTTTACAAAAATATTTTGTATACAGTTTTTTAAACTTTTAATTATGGCCTGACAGTAGAAAATGAGAGTTAATCTCATATTGTCTCTCCCAGTGGTCCAACTGCCATTTGCAGAAATGCACCACTCCCAGTAAGAAACAACCAATCACAGCCAGGATGAATGTTTTACCAGTGTCAATCAAGCTTATGTATGTGCTGCTCACAACCTTCACCTGTCAGGTGGTCAGCAGCATATGAGCACCTCGGGGGACTGTAATCTAACCTTTCATTTTCACTCTGAATTGATAATACATAGGTTTCTCTCACCGATAATATACATGTTGCCTGGATCCTGTTTAACTTATAAATGACGAACACACTGACAATCCTGAGCATTATCCTCATGTTATAAAACAGTATCTTCAGTCAGAGGCTTCTTCATAACTGTTTTAATACAGACGTTACATGAGATCCTTCTTGCCCACAGCCATGCATGTACAACTCCAAGAAACTTGGATGATACGAGTTACAACATTTAACAACATTCCCAACATTGGATCTGAGGTATTATTGAATTGAATTGAATTGAATTGAAATCTCGCTTCTTTCAACAATTATACGACACATTCAATGTAAAAAAATGCTTTGTTTAAAAAGGTGTTTTCTAAATTAAACCAAAAACAGACTATATGTAAGCTTTCAATGCAGTGATGAGTTAAACTGAACTATAGATTAATAAATCTCACACCATAAAGTATAGAATGAAATGACTTTATAAATGTTTAAGCCTTAAACAGTCTGACAAGGCTAAAAATGCACATATTAAAGACAGCAAAATTTTACTCCTTCCAGTTTTACATACCTTATTGCTACAGTGCAAACTTACAGGGAAACACGTAAAGCAGTGAATAATACAGTTGACTATTAGAATATACTTCAAATATTACAAAAACATGTTTGTGTAAATCTTTTTGCTTTGAAAATTGATGTTGAACACGCTAAATTATAACATTCACAGACATTAAGTAACTAGAACTTTGATGTTTTTCTTGGTTTGCACAGCAGGTTTTAAAACTGAGCCTCTCCACTGACAGCTAAGATTCAACATGAGGATGGGTCTGATAGTCTGGTCTCTGAGGCCATAGATCAGGGAACTCAGACATTTGGGAAGAACAATTATACAGATATACAGAAAGACCTGGATACGCACAGCTTCAACTCTCCCTAGATTCTTTGAGATGGCTATAATCAGTGAGTTGTATATTGTCGAGGACATTGTCAGGCCCATTTGCAGCAGATGCAGCAGCAGGGTTCTTCGAGCCTTGCTGGCTGATGCTTTGTCAGTGGAGGCAGAGTGAGCTGCCACAATGATGCCAGTGTAGGAGAAAGTGACAGTTACACCGCCGAGCACAAACAGAAAATAAGTGAAAGCTCTGTCATATAGAGCAGACACCGGATCGAGAAACACGCTCTCTTTTCCACAAAAATCCATCATCTCTTTGTGCTGCAGGTCTTGGAATGAAAACTTTAACATTAAACTTAATTGTGAAACGACGTGTAATGAACTGACACACCAGATAACACAGATTACCACTCCTGTGTTTCTGATGGTGATGATGGCACTGTGTCTCAAAGGATAGCATACAGCTATGTACCTTTCTAAACACATGATCACCAGTGTAACGATTGAGGCAGAGAGTGTTAAACTGCTGAATGCCGTTAGAGCAGCACAGACCGGATACAACAATGTCAGTCTAAAAGAAGACAGCAGAAACATTGACTGACTTTGTGCCAGCTGCACAGTGTCTGCAAAGAGAAGGTTAAACAGCAGAATGTAACGAGACGTCTCCCGAAACACCTGTTTGCTTCTCAAAGTGTATAGCATGGTCACGTTGATGAAGAGAAACACGGCGCACTGCAATGTTGTCATGATGGAAGTTGTCAGTATCCCCAGAAGCCCTTCACGCTGCAGACTTACAGTGGTATTTAACAGAGTTTGATTAGTAAAGAACATGGCAAGCAAACACTAAAAATATGGGACTGTCACACACACAACACAGTGAGATAATCATAAATACACTTCATTATTAGAACAAAGATAGCTACAAAGATGTCCTAAATTTCTTTCCATCAATATGCCTCCTTTACATGCAAACAGTGCCAGATCTAATGATTGAACCTTCCATTCTATACTATTTATCTGATCAGTGCGGACACACCCCTTGCGTCTCACTACGTTTTTTCCTTCGTCATGTAGTAAGAAGTAACTATCAGTCATGAAGCCACTGAAAACAAATAAACACAATTGTTAGATTTTTTTCTTCAAGCAAAGCGAGTTTAAGTGTGGTTGAATTCCAGCTTTTAATCTTATACGTAAAGGAGTCGATATATAGTCTTTGCACTCTTTAGTTGTACTGCATTTGCTTGTTTTGCCACTCCTAAATGATTCAGCCTTGAACAAAAAATAAATACGAAACAATTTTTTTAACCAATGGTATTAATAAAAAATACTTGTCTGACTGCCTGTGCCAAGTGTAAAATTTGGTGGAGGTGGGATCATGGTGTGGGCTTGTTTGTCAGGAGCTGAGCTTGGCCTCTTAGTTCCAGTGAAAGGATGCTTCCATGGCGAGGTGTTCCAGGCACGTTCCAGCAGGAGGAGACCCAGAGGAACACCAAGGACACGCTGGAAGGACAATTTTTATTTACACACACACACGCACGCACGCACACACAGGACCTTTATCAGAAGCTCTGCCTCAGTTTTTAATTTAGCTTTTATAGGAATGATCAATTAAATAACTGACAAAAATGTAAGTAAATGGCTTGTACAACACTTTTAATAGGTCTTGTACAAGCCAGAGGATCCCAAAGCACTTCACATTACATTCAGTCATTTACCCGTTCATACACTGATGGTGACAAGCTACTGGATAGTAGCCATAGTTGCCCTGGGTCACACTGACAGAGGCAAGGCTGCCATTCACCAGGCCCTCTGACTGTAACCTGCAGGAAGGGAGGTAAAGTGTCTTTAATCCCCTTAACATGTCAAGGACACAAAGATGGAGGCAGACAGAGCGGTCAGTAACCCACTGATCGAGGGATGAACTCCTACCACCATCATCCCTCTAAAAAGATTTTTTAGTGTACAGTGACATGTTCGCTCATTTTTTCTCATTTCGATCCTTTTGTGTTTCAGTGTGAAGTGTGTGACCATGCATTGGATTTACGTTTTAGAATAGTCAGTTGTGCTTTAATTTATCCCTTTCTTTTGAGATACTCTGTAGCAAAAGAAAGTCACATCCAAAAGTTGGATTTCTTTTAGACTTTATTTGTTAGAAGTGTGAGCTGTGTTGGTTTTGTCTTTGGTATGATGTAACTCTGAGGTCTAACGAGTAATGCTCCATGCATTTAGCTCAATCCTCATGATGGCTTATTTAGATACATTAAATATTCATACCCCTACTCATATATTTTTTCAGTAAATATTGACCTGATTGCATCATAAAAATGTATAACAGTCACTTTGTGTCGGTGTGCATAGTTTGAAAAGTTAAATGATAAGGCCACTAGAGCCGATAAAACCTTAAAAAGAGTTACTTGTGGCGAAGTTTTGAAACAATTTTGAGTTTTGCTACTTTGGTACACTTTGGAGAAGTGTTTCGCACAGGGATCTTAATGTTCTCCAGTCTGGAGAGCATTGGAATACTTCTAGTACTCTTCTGGAATACTTGAAGTATTCTAGTACTTCTAGTACACAAAATGTACTTCTGTGCATACTAGTAATGCAAAGACTTGTGGCAAAGGTCATTGGGCCAGAACTCGAACTCATGATGAAAGCCACGTCGAGGGCCATGCAACTCTACCCCTGCACCACAGCAGTGCCCCAAAAGGCAGAAACATTTGATAGAACAGATTTTTGTTCACTGAATGTGTGCATTTCTTACTGAAATATTATTTTATGCTTCGTGTCCATTTGTTACACAATCAATTCATGTTATTGTGTATTTAAAGACACAATCTTGAATTTAATTTAAAAAAAAAGTATAATCAGACATTTTGCCACCCCGCTGCAGCACCTCCTCAGGGATCGTGACCCCCCCATGGAAGAACTCTGGTTTACTGCTTGTTTTTTCCACTGGATTCTCTGGCAGCAAAGAGAGCATCTTCCATAAAAGCCCATGTGGCTCATTTAGACACATTAAATATTTAAGCTGTCGATTCCCTTATGTCCTTTCCAAGTATCAACAGAGATATCAGTGTTTTTGCTTAATTAATCCTAATGGAAATGATGTAATGTGTATCTCTGAACACAATTATGGCAGTTTATGAAGTTCAAATTAACTCATAGAAAATCTTACAATGAAATGTTTGTTTAAAAGTTTACAGTGTTTTGTTACGACCTCAAAAAAATAACTCCACAGTGTTTCAGACTCAGGGCTAACAAAGCAAGCGGTATAAAATCAGCAGTTACTATGAACCATTATTAAATCAGAAGAATTCAGGTTTGTGTTAATACAACTTCAAAGAAGAATCTATCTGGAATGAGCTGCTGTTCCTCATCACTTTGGAAAGACTATAAATCAATATCCATACTTTCTAAGTCCATTATTCTGCAATGAAAAATATTTACTGGAAAACATTATTTATCTATTAAAATAAAAATAATATAAAAATTCATAACTTAAAAGATACAGGAACCTACAAGTTAACTCATAAGGAACAGGGTCTGAAAAAACAGTCTGTGTGCTACACTCAAGATAGAGATTCCTTTGATGCATCAAAGAGTGACGTCATCACTGATGATGTCATTGTTACCATAGGAACTAAACATTCTAATGGTGCATTCACACCAAACACGTTTTGAGTGTCAGGCGAGTCTGCTTTATATTCAAAGTCTATGTGGAGTATTTGATGCGCTGGACACGTCAAACGCTCCAAACGGTTCAAATGGCGCCGCGCTAGACGCTCGAAGAGCGCCGCAACGGCCCTCGACGCGCCTCCACATAGAGTTTGAATGTATGCGCCTGACGGTCAAAATGTGTTTGGTGTGAATGCACCATTATATGTCCAGTGTCATATTAGGTCCACCATATTAGGACCAAAGACTGGTCCTAATATGATGGATTCATTGCTTTGGGTCAGGGGTAATGTTTAGAGGTAAGATGTGAATTAAGGTTTAGTTAATGTTAGGGTTAGTAATAGACTAGTATTGGTTTGGGTTAGGGAAAATGTCTGGGTTTGGCAAAATCACAGCTACTAAAATGAAGGGAAATCAATGCAAAGTTCTAATATGGGTCGAAATAGTTTTGACAAGCCTGTATAGAATTTTGTTTTCTAAATC